TAACATATTAACGGTAAGGTTGTTTAAAAAACGACGCATCGCTATACGATCTAACATTTAAGTAAGGAGGTTTTTTAAGAACGAGACATCGCTTTAAGATATAACATTTAAGATATTTACTACTTTGAGACTAAGACGGGTGTCAGGGCGCTTGGCACGCTGGGTAACGAGTTGACGGTGACAGCGCACATGGTAGTTGATTTGCCGTCCTGTTACTTGTGATCACGCTTATACAGCAATTCTTCGTCCAATTTTGTTCCTTTTTCTGTGGTGAGTACCTTTATTTTACATGCCAGAGAGGGGACATGGCCTTGTCTTATAAATTTGTTACAATATTTTATATTCGTTTCAGATCAACGAAATGGCTAAGGCAGACGATAGAACGACGATAGAAGATATTATGTTACAACCGATTCCAACTACACCGAAAAAATTATCGAAGAAGCTACGATGTGCTGTGTTGAACAAAAGCCCCGTCAAACCGACAAGCAATGGATACTCAATGTTTTCAGTAAATGTGGTTGACGAAAGCTCGGTATCTGCAATCAGAGCTGTGTGTTTCGAGGAAGAAATGTATACAAAGTTTGAGCCCAACACAACCTATCAAATTGAGTCATTCAAAGTGAAGAAAGCGTATGGTAAGAGTAATACTTCTGAGCTACTATTCGATAGAAGCACAAAGATCTCCAGAGATGTATGTCAGCTTGATATCAAAGAGAAGTGGTTTACTGTCTCTCAAGTTCTCCGAGGTGAAACTCAGAGCCAAAAGTTTCTAAAGATTAAGGCCAAGGTGACAAGCATCGATGAAACATGTCTAGTCGGCCCAGAAAACATCACGAAGCGTACTATTTCTTTGGCGGATAGCACAGGGCATATAGAGCTAGTGTTATGGCGTCAAAGAGCAGAAAGCTTCGAGTATGCGAAAGGTGATGTCCTGGAACTCCAAAATGTTGTCATGTCGTCATTCAACGGCAAAGCAAATTTGACATCTGCTTTTGAGACGGTAATCACAAAGCTAGAAGAGGAAATGACTGTAGCCCCATGTAAACGTCCACAACAAAAATCGAATGTGGTATCGCTAAACAGCTATATCCTGGGATTGAAAGAGTTCAATTGCTTATATTCCTGCCTTGGTTGCAAAAAAGAGATCAACGCAGATACATGCAAGGCCGGACACACAATCAAATGTCCAGCATGCTCTACCATATTCTTGAAAGAGTTGGCAACTATCACCAATCAATGCATGGTCCTGCTTGAATCCAAACAATGGTTCAAGGTTCATACAGGGGTAAGTACTGGCGTATTATGCAGCATGCAAATTAATCCCTAAATATACCATTTGATGTATGGATAACTTAAAGTGCTTATGAAACGAAATTTGACCCATGTATTTTATGGCTGCATATTGAAGATTATTTAGAACGAAGAAGAAACACTTTTGCAGAACTTTCTTATCTTCCATTATTCAGGGGGTATTCGAGGTTGTTTGATATGCAAATATCCTTTCTATGCCATGGCATCACACTGCATAATGAGTTTTGGAAAGCGCGCTGTTTTAGCTGCGAGTGTTTAGAAAATTATCAAAACCATTTCACTGACTGAGTACATATTACTATGGATGATAGCCCATTGCAATTCATCTTGGTATAAAATTTGTAAGACACACTAAAATTGTTATTGAAACTCATTATGCAGTGTGACGTCATAGAAAGGACATCTTCTTGCATATCAAACAAACTTGAATATCTCGTGAGTAAAACAACGTAGAACAGTTTTACAAAAGCAGTCCTTTTTCATTTTCAATCATCTTCGATATGCCATCATAAAACGCTGAGGGGCACATTTTGTTTCATAAACACTTTAATCTAATGACTGAAGGCTGTTGTAATGGTAGTAAAGAAAATCTTACTGTAGGCTCATAAGTGTATATGTAGTTTATATAATTGAGAATAGACCTTTTTAATACTGAGTTGGAGTGAGGGCAACACAATGTTACACACGATGTGATTGGCTCACGTTTTTGACGAACAAATTACATTGCGTGTACCATCATGTTTTCCGCACTCTACATCATTATTAAAAAGCTCATTGATGTCAGTAGTTGGTTTGCGAATGTAGTGGGGAACAGGTCAGGGGTAAACAGCAAGTCAGGGGTAAACAGCAAGTCAGGGATTGCTGGTTTGATTACAAATTTGATGCCACTAATTTTCATAATTGATTTTTTTGTAATTGTTTATCTGACATAGGTCATCCTACACCTGTTCAATTGGGAAAAAGCAAAACAAGTTCCCACGGAAGACGATGTGGTTTGCTTGCTGAATACCAAGTTCACCTTAAGGTTGGATCTCACCCGAAGAGCTGTTGAATTTGGCACCCGAGTACTAGCAGATGATATGGAAAATGATGCTCAAGAGGAAATGGAAGCTGAAGGGGAAATGGAAGGCACCTCATCAAAGAAAGTCAAGACACAGTGAACACAATAGGCTCTGCTACTGTACTTTCTGTATGAAAAACAAAATTCATTTTGGATATTATGTTTATGTTCCTTGTTTGGCCACAGCGACAAATTACTGTTCTTGTTGATTTTAAACCACTAATAGGGTCTAGTTAGATGACTATTATTGTCATTATTTATCATTTTCATTCTAATCTTTGGGGTGAATGGGTTTATCGTCGTCGATTTATTTTGTTGTCATTTTGGAATTATTGTTGATTTTAAACCACTGTTTGGGCCTAGACTAGTTAGATGACACTTACTGTCATTATTGATCATTATTATTGTAATCTTTGAAATGATGTTGAACAAATACATGATTTTGTTGGGTTTACCATGGTCAAGTTTATTTTGTTGTCATTTTGCAAGGGCGTAACGCGAGGAATCGGAGCCGTAGGGGTGAAGCCAGTAAGTGTACAAGCTGAATTTCGCGTAGTGGTGGGCGATATATCGTAAAAATATCGATAACTTCGATATTTTCAAGTATTGTATTGGTATCGATAAATATTTTCAAGTATCGACAATTTCGATACTTGTCACGTGTTACGAAATTTTGAGTTTTAGATGATCCCCCTGTTAATAATCACAGTCCGGTTGTACAAGAGTTCAGTGACTAAAACTTTTAGTCACTGAACTCTTGCATAAACGGATTGCCATTAACAGGGACTCATGAGGAACAATTGGTACGGCGAGGGTTAATGGGGAATTTTGGGGTTTAGCAGGTCCACATCAGCCCTGGCTGCCACCGATTGTTTAACCTGCTTTATCAAATAAAATATGTATGTATGTAAGTATGTAGTTTCATTTGAGTTGAATTTACTATATTGAAATTTCGCTATTCATTTATATACAATTTTGAGTATCGGTATCGAATATTGTATCGAAACAGTGGTATCGAGGTAAAAGTAACCGGTATCGTATCGACATCAAAATTCCCAGTATCGCCCACCACTATTTTCGCGTAAACAACTCCAAATATGGGAAACGTGATCAGCGATGTACAGTTTTGCAAATCGGTTCGGACCTTCAGTTTTATCTTGAGACCTATATTTTGGGTAAATTCTGTGTTTTATTCCCAAATATACGAAATTAAAACTAATTGCAAAGCTTAGTAAATTATCGACTCACCAGCTGGCAGCTGCAGACGTTGGCATTTAACATTCAATGAGAAATCTTTCGAACAATAGGTATATAAATATAAAGAAATTTTATTTTCCAATATGAACAATACAAATACAAATTTTGTTTTCTTTTGAACTTTTCAAGGGTATTTATGATATATTATTAGTGTAACAAGAACTGAATGTCAAAACAAACGATATTCTTGTGTTGTGCGTTAAGTCATAGATACTGTATAAAAATAGGTTTAACTGCAACATATTTGACAGGAACTTTATGAAGCCCTTACATTTGCATAGGGAGTGAACATAAAAAGTACTTTTCAACTGCTTTGCTAACAAATGTCACTATCAGTTCAATCAAACGATACATTGTTAACAACATTGGAATTATTAACTAATAGCTTCATACTTGACGTCAGTAAAATAATCTCGCTAAATTTCTCGTTATCAAATGATTCCAAATGAACGAATGAGTTGTTTGCATGGTTGGCAACAATGTCTTCCAACGCGGAGTGGGAAAGTAAGAACCACTGAAGCTGCTCGTCGGCTGCTTTTATGCATATGCGTGCTGTGATGGTCTTCGTACTGTTCGCCAACAGAAATCGCATTTGGCAATTGTCGCATTTTGTCATAACAGAATCTGGACTTCTCTGACTCTGAAGTCTCTTTGAGCAACTAACACACGAGTAGTACTGTAATATGTTAACACTCTGGATGTGGTCGCATTGGATTTCTCTGGTCCTATTCATATTTGGCTAACTTGCTTTTCTTCGCACAAAACTGCACTCGATGCCTCAAAGTCAAATCAACGATCATCAAATTTATTAGTACTGAGGACTGCGGTACTGCCTTATCCCCAGTCGCTTCTTTTGGGGCGGTACCGCAGTAATCGACAAGTGTCAGCTGACGTATCAGGCAACATATGAAAATACAAGGAATGTACTCCACAACGAAGTTCAATGAGGTAGTCAACTGCCTGACAGGAGAGCAATAATTTCACCAATGGTAAACTTGGGTATCCAATTGTCCAGAGAGTACTCAGAATAGATGAGGAAAGACAACTGTTGCACACCAATGAATACGAAGTTCCATGAGGTAGTCAACTGCCTGACAGGAGAGCAATAATTTCACCAATGGTAAACTTGGGTATCCAATTGTCCAGAGAGTACTCAGAATAGATGAGGAAAGACAACTGTTGCACACCAATGAATGTAGTCTAGGCCAGAATTTCCAATTTGCTCTTTAAAGTTGTCCTTTGGTCGCAATAATGACAATAAATAATGTACTGTTAATGTCCAGATGATGATACAAGTAGCAATAATGGAGTATGCAATTTTTGAACGGAACTTTTGGTCAATACTATTTTGGAGTGGTACTGTAAATGCCTAATGATCTCCAGTACAATTCATCATTGCCAAATTTACCACGAATACTCCAGTATGTACAGTAGTTGTGTTATTAATATAAGTCTAAGGTACAAAGCAGCAACAGTACATGTATTGCAGGCATTTGATGGTAGTTAACATGTGTTGTAATTAGTACAAACTGATACCAGATTATCACTTCGTAGTAAAGAATGGTGCATAATTGGGACAATCCCATTTATACAATATCAGGGGGTGTACATGATCTGCCATAGCCTTTGTAGGAAGCTTGCCATGCAGACTAGGTTTGTGGTTGGCCAGTGTGAACCAGAGACTGAAATCACCATGTGGGATGCAGCTGTGCCTTGACTCTCATTCATTGACTTTGGCAAAGATTGCGCATATTCTAAAATTAAACAAACAATATTATGGGTATATTTAATGTAACATGGTTACTAGATACATTTGTACACCACTTAATAGATTTAGCATACTGTAATGTCATTAGTTTTACTTACATGATTTTATTGATGATCTTGTTCCTTGGACCAATATAGCTTAATATATTAATACATGTAAACCTTCAAGCAGTAAAACACCACACATATTGTGGGTTTAATGTTGCTCAGTGCGTAAGCACTAAGCATCATGTTGAAGGGACTTGCAATTAATAAAACATCCAGTGACAGGATATTGCAAGTCTCTCCAACACATTGGAGAGAGTTCCGTGTGAGGAAGTGCACGCAGGCCTTCAGAAATCTCACATAGCCAAAAGCAAGTTTGTGCCGGCCCTGCAATTCTTGGTGGTGTTCTTGAGTCCACATTACACTGCATAACAGAAGTGTAACATGTTCTCAAGAGTCTAACAACCAAAGAATTGTGTGTGTGATTTCTGAAGGCCATTTTTGGGCGGAAACTGAATGTAAGAAACATGGGAAATGTAGTCATGGCATTCAAAATTTACTTCTGCTTACAATATTAAAAAGAAAATGTTACTAATGAAATAACAAGATGTATCAAATCACTTCTCTAAATTCTAAAACAAAATACAGCATTAATGGCTCAATTTATTTCATTCTACACTTCATAATTGGATAATTAACTTGACAGCATCATGATCAGAATAGTAGACATTGATTACTACAATTTCAAGAATGTCTAAACTTGCTGTTCTGACATATAACTGGTCCAATAAGCTGCCTGATATAAATGTAGGACAGTTTACAATCTGGTTAAAACCACAAGAGTCCATTAACAATCTAAGAGGTTCTGACGCAGTATCACTGAAGTAATTAATGTTAAAATCACCAAAAACTAAATCAATTGTATATGTGTTAATAATATAGGACAAATTACTAAGGTACTGCTGGATATTTGTAGCTTGTTTTCGATAAAGCAAAAGAAGGGTTTTGGATTGTTGCAAATGACTCATTTTAATACTAAAATCAAATTTTAATGCATTTATTTGGGGAAAGTATTCAAGGTTTATCATTTTGACATTATTTCTTGTACATACTGCCATACTGGAGTACTTGTCTCTATTATGATCTTGACGATAAAGCATAAAAGGGTTAAGTAATTCTTGTATTTCGTTATCTGATTCATGTGGCAAAAGCTGTGTTTCAGTAAATGCAATAACATCACTTTTAAAAATTGTCATATCATGTTTGACATCAATGCTATGTTTTCTAAGAGATCTCACATTCAAAAGTGATATGGTGAGAACATTGGAATGGTCATAGACAGTATTTTCGACTGAAATCGGGCAGTCAGTTTGAAGTCTTTCATATTCTGACAGAACTTTAGGATTTGTTTTAATATGTTTACTTTCTACTTGTCCCAAGATGAATAAACCATTTAATGATGTAGCACGACTCAAAGCAACATAAATTTGACCATAGTTAAATGATCTTTGTTTTACTAATTCAGTGCTAAGTACAACTTTTTCAAGTGTTAAACCTTGTACTTTGTGTACAGTACATGCCCAAGCAAGTGTCACAGGAAATTGCACTCTTTGTATTTCTGGGGAGGAAGCTTTACCTGGTCTTATTTTGATCTTTGCTAGAACTGGTTCAATAGGCACAACATGGTTCTCCTTTGCAAAATGGTTGCCTTTGGTGATAATTAAGTCTTTACCAGCATTTGGATCATCAAACTTTATATAAAGGACTGTTGGATTATTAGTAGTCTGGTTGCCTTGCACGCTCACAACAGTACCCATTTGTCCATTAATAAGTCTGTCAGCAATACAAATATTTGTGGTTAACATCACTCTGGCACCTTCTTTAATGTGAATCTCATAATCAAGTCCACCTGTCTCAGATCGTCCTCTGGCTAACACTCTATCAATATCTTGTTTTCTTACATTAGGTGGATATTGATCTTTAGCTCTAAGAATATACAATAATCCAGGGAGTTCTTCAAGTTTGTTTCTATTATGACCATCAACTGGTGCATTTTCAGCCCAGATATGAAGTGCATCTGAGGGATAATTAGGATCATCTGGGGTAATACATCTTGATTGGATAATGTTAATGTCATCTTCAGTCTGTGTGGCTGTTCTGACACGATTAAGAAGTTGAATAAACGATTGATCATCTTTTTGTCTCATAATTTGGGTCAGTTCAATCATTTTAAACACATTCCATGGATGCATTAGATTTAAAAGATTATTTTTGTATTCATCGAATATAAATCTCTTACGTATTGGTGGAAGTTGACAGAGGTCGCCAACAACAATGATAGACATTCCTGCAAATAGCAATGAACTTGGAGTGCCAAATATTTCCTTCAATCTCTGATGGACATGAAGTAAAGTTGTGTTTCCAACCATAGATATTTCATCAATGATGATAAGTTTGAGATCAACTAGTGCAAGTCTTAACTGAGTTTTCTTTTGGTCTGACATAGCAGGTAAATTATCACCAGTTTCTTTAGGAATAGCTAAAGCAGTATTAATTGTGGTACCATCAATATTTATTGCTGCTACACCTGTTGGTGCCATAAGAAGTACTGTTGGTAACTCAGGGTTGATAGGTGGATGTCTGAATGTTTTGACAGCTGTGTGATAAATGGTTTTAATCAAATGACTCTTTCCTGCACCACCACCTCCAGTTATAAATAAGTAGATTGGTTCTATTTCAACAGGTTTCAAGGTGTTCAAATTCTTCATTTTACTGCGACACCAAGTGAGGAATGTGTCATAAGCATGGCGTTGCTCAGTGTTTAATGATCTAATATTTGTACGCAATGTATCATCAGATATTTCTGTTGGTTGGTTGTAGGAACTAATTGCACCAGGCTTTGGATTGTTTTGTACTGGGCCAAGATGTGATGCTGGTTGTTCATTAAATGATTCATTAGGAAAGCTATCTTGCATTCCAGCATGTATATCTGCATTTTCCTGATCATTTAGTGCATCAAATGAGCGAATACCACCAGGGTTTGATTTTACAGCTTCAAAAGCTTCATCTATAGCGTCGGAATCAGGTTCAAATATTGCTCTGTTGTGTTCAACCACAGCTTGTACTTCAGGTTCATAGAACTTTGTTGAATATGTTTCATCTTCTGCCATTAAACTATTTTCATCTCGCCAAGGGTAGTAAAGCATGAGCAAATGGTGAAAATAAGCCTCTGGTTCTTTTTGTTTATTTGGTCTATGATATCTTATAACAGCTTTGATTTTACGACATTTCATATATTCATTGGTATTCATCAATTTAATCCTTTTGGGGAGTGATTCTGTTACATCATGTTCTGCATTTTGGGATTCAATTAAACTATCTGTTAAGATCTCTGGTTGAGAGTCATTTACATCATTGCAATTTATCTTATAGTCTTTATAGTAATAAGCAGCAAACATGGCAAGACATAGGTTATTGACAGCATGGATATTGGTTGGCCGTATACTGTAACGTTCAATAATATTAGATTTATATATGTCAGTACTGTCATCATCTAGGTCATTTAGTTCTTCTTGTGTCTTGGTTACTCGTACCCTTTTCTCTGGAAAATCTGTGCTAACAAAAACAGTTGTTGGAAATATTTTTCTCAACCAAAGTTCAGGCATTGATCTGTAAACACATTCTTGTGAACTCACTTCCCTTGTAGAGAGAAAAGCAGCACCAATTTTTTTAAGACCATCTCTAACACTCATGTTTTCAGCTTTAGCTTCTTTAGCTGCATTAACAATTGCTTGAGAACACTCAGTCTCATCTTTAGTAAAATATGAGCATACATATGTTATACATTTATAGTGGTTGAATACAGGTTGTAAGTCAACATTGGCTGCAAATCCTTTAATACCAGCAACAAAGTAGTTGTTGATAAAACAACTGTCAACAGGTCTTTTAAGGTGTAAGTCAAAATCTGAATCTGGTGATATTGACAATGCCCAGTAATATTGATCCTCAGTGATATTTAATGAATCCAGGATGTCCTGCTCAGTTAAAGTTTCATCGTAGTCTGAGTTTGATGGGTTTAGTACTTCATCAATTTTTTGTTTGATTTTAGTTAAGATCTGTATTCGGCGATCAAGTACTTGAGTCTTGATTTCATCATCTAAATCACTGCTCAGTGGCAATGCAATTATAGTTCTGTTTGTAAAAAATTGACCAAAATTAAACCTACAACTGGTATTTTTATATTTACGACAAGTTTTTGAATGACTATGCTTTTGGTACATTTTGACTAACTCATGCAATTCAGGTTTTATATTTTTTTCTGGTAGGTAAGCCTGGACATGGTTATCAATAAAGTTTACATATGCTTCTGTGTTATCTGAGTCAAGTTTAGGGCAATCAGAGGTCCAGATCAAGGCGTGTAGGTGCGGCGAGCCTCTCATTTGAAATTCAATACGAAGTGCATAGTATATTATTTTGCCAATTGGATTGAGTTGACTAAGAAGAATTTCAGTAAAGAATGTTTCAACTCTATGTTGGAAATGCTTTGCAACAATAACAGGGTTAAGGTTTAGCATTGAACATCGTTCAGTGTATGATAAAGCTTCTATTTCCTCTTCTGTCATATTTTGACCCTGTGTTCTAGCAATAATCTGAAACAATTCAGGCCATCTAAGATCAGCACATGATAATGTCATAAACCATGTTGGAATACCAAGTTGTTTTACCATTGCTACAACTTCATACATAAATTTTTGCCAGTATGGAGGAGTGCCTGGAATTTGCCGTAAGAACAAATATGCCTGGTCTTGGCAAATCAAACCTTTCAACTGATTTACATCTGATTTTACTTGTGATGCAGTTATTGTTTGGCCATGAACTTTTTTCAAGGCAATGTTAATACTATCAGATACTTTCTTTTGTTCTGTAACAAACTGTGCAAAAAACAGATATTCTGGGTTCATAGCAAATCTTCCACTATAATGTAAAAGCCTGGCATTAAAATACTTCACTGGTGTTAATTTCATCTCTCTTTCATTAGTGTAACCAAAGCGACCTTTGGGGAACAGTACTGGAAATGCAAGCTCTTCACATTTAGTGTCAGTCATTATTGATACAGGGTGCTTATTTTCACCGGGTGCAATATTGTACACTTCATTACCTAATGATGACTTTTGATTACTTTCACTGGTGACAGGGTAATCAGGTAATACAGGTTGAAGACATGTCTCATTAGGAGCTTGTCGATATTCATTTAGTGGGTCCTCTCTAGTTTCCTCACTATCATCACCTTGGCCTTTGTTGTCAGGTTTTAACAATTCATTATTTTCATCAACTTCATTTATGGTTGGTACAATGGTATTGCAGTTGTCTTGTGCTAAATGTGTGACATCTTGACTTAATTGTTGAATGTTAATTGTGATGTCATTATACAATGGGTTATTTAACTTTAGCCAATTAAGAGCAGCAAGTAGAAACTCTGGTCGTACCGCTTGAAAATACACATGGCCTCTGAATTGGAGTTTTCTCTTAAGTTTCAACATTATTATACCCGACCTCTCTGGTGGGCGTGGCAAAACTTTACATGTATTATCACATTCAACTGGTACATTGCAGATTGCTCCCTTAACTTTACGTTGTTGTCCCTTTGGCATGACCACAATTTTTTCAAAAACTATTCGCTGTGCAATTAGAACCTGTTCAAGTTTTTCTAACAATGAAAGCTCACTTGGTATGTCATCAACAAACATGTTATTACAGACTGCTTGGCAAGGTATTTTATTCTTCAATAACTTTGAGTGACATGTTTTACAGATGTACTGGTTGTTATCAAATGACTTCACATCAGTAAATACAGCATTATAGTTATCAGTGTCTAGTATGTACTTGTCTTTGTTTAGTAATTCAACAGATTTTCTGTAAAGTAACCGATGACAAACCGAACAAATGTAATAAGGACCTTCTGAAATTTTTTTGGTAAATCTTGAGATGGAGTCATCTAAACAAAGATTTTGTTTCTTTTCCTTATACTTGTCTGCTATTTTGCTAAGAAAGGTTTCCTTTTCATTAGGACTCATAGATTTATACTTGTCTCTCCTTTTTTTTAGAACAGCTTCTTTTTCAATTGGGCTGATTGATTGATACCAGTACTTGTGTTTTGTTGCTCGTTCTTCCAGCAATGTCTTTTTCTGTAAGGGTTCTAAATGTTTATATGACTCGTTCCGTTTATCACCAAGCAATCTTTTTTGTCCAGCTGGTTTATGCTTTCTCAAAATTTTTTGCCTTTCTGGGTTTGGCAAGTCACATTTGCAAGATAGAAATTTAATTTTGTATGGCACCTGTTCAAATTTGAATTGATGCAAAACAATATTAGAAATGCTATCAACAAGTGATTCTACATTTTTATGCTCTTCAAATAAATCAATTACTTGTGACTCACTGTATAATAATAAGAAGAATTTAGTCATTTTATTTAAATTGTGCTCGAAAATGCATGTTATACAGTATTTTGAAACCCACATCAAAAAACCAGTATTTTCTTCACTGTTTTGCATTATTAAATTATTAAGCACTAGTTTGCTAGTATTTGATCCTGGTATTAGCAAATCACATTTTTCTAAGTTGTATGTTATTTGAACAATGGCACCATAAATATTCACAGATTTTGGTAAGTAGTTTATTGCAAATATTTTCTCATTTTTCAAGACTTCGTTATAGTTCAAGAGTATGCCATGCTCTGCAATGGAAATCAGTGTTGAATCCTTCCAGAATTTGCATGACATAATTATTGAAAAACAAACTGAATAATGGCATATGGCATAACACTTTTGAGTCGCAATTAAATCAGCTTCAGATGATTGTTGACATAGTGTTGATACACTGTTTGAACAGGTAACAATGTGCACACCTTTTAACTCAAACAAAACATTTGTTCTGTGTAAGGTTTTTAAATATTGTAACAGGTGCAATATTGAGTTTAACTCCAAAAGTACACATGTACCAGTGGGATCAATCATACCAGATGAATTTCTTGCATGTGAGTCAAATACTTTAAATACATTATTTGCAACAGTATAAACAGATACAGTTGCGCAACCAATTGTTAGAAGAAATAAGTTAAAACCCTCTTGAAGCAAATGTTCAATAGCATACTGCAAAGGTAGGACATATGGGTTCTCATCGTTAATAGTCAAGTTGTGTAGTTGCCCAG